GGGCAAAGTGTGTCAGGAGGGCCTCGCTGAAAATTCGCGCTCACTGCTTTTATTACTATTACTAGTATGGTTATTATTACTATCAATGTGATTACTAGTATAATTACTTTTATTACTACCTGCCAATGTGGGCACATGTTTTGGTTGAAGGTTGGGGGGCGCAGGCGTTTCAGAATGCAGGTGCGGAGTCTGAGGAGTCTGTCAGGATATGCTTCTTTAGTCCCTAAGTTCATGATCGTTCAAAGGGTTTAAACAAAGTTCACATCAAAGCCCTTACTTAGCATTTCGTGGGGCTACAAGCAAGAACCTTAATTCGGGCTCGCATACAGCCACTATCTGCGCTTTGCTGCTCAGTCCTTGGTTGTAATTGTACGGTAGATGTCATGCCCCTTGGAGTGCGCGCGGCGGGCTCCAGGACAGGATGAGATGGGACATTTATGTGCTGGAAGATGTCAGGAAACAGCGGCAGAAGCTCTGGGTACATCCAGACGACGCCGGCGGCAAGCAACGTGAAGGCGTAGTGATGACTGTGAAAGAGAATACATCGCCTGCATGAGCTTCGTAAAGTGCGTGGCTTTCTTAACAGCCGTTCCCTTACATTACAAGTTTGGTCAGACTTACAGATACAGAATGCTGTGATTTAACTTTTGCAGGTGTTCTTCGGCACGGACGATGGGAAGATGCAACTTGCACTTCAAGATAGATGGTTTGCTCCTGACAGTGTCATATCACTGCTTACAGTCTGCCAGAGCTGCAGCAAAACGCACAGCAGCTAAATCACGATCTGTGCAAGTCGGAGCTGCAGAAACCAGGAGGCCAGCAACAAGCCTTGGGAATTTCGTCCCTGCTTAACATGATCGTCACATCCCAGTCAACGAACTTACAGACAGCACTGCAGGCTATAGGAGTGCCGCCTTTCGTTGTACCGCAAGAAGGCTCAGGAAGGTTCGAGAGAGATGTCATCACGCCCAAAGGCGGGAATGTTTCAATACCTTGCCCGGAACTGTCGCAGCCGCATGCAAAATCTGAGGTATGCCATCGACAGCACTGACGGAACGCTCGCTTGGGAGCCCCTGGACCTGAGAGGGCAAGTCTGGGGTCATGGCTTGAGGTTCTTTCGCTCTCTTGGTGCTGTTCGGGAAGAGCTGCACCGAAAAAAAAAAACGAAAGGACAAGTTGCCACTTTACTTGCGGGGTGCTGTAAGGAAGGAGCTCTTCCTGGCCTTGTGGAATTCTGGTCTATCTCTTTCTCTCCCTCTCTCTCTCTTACTCTTTCTTGCTCTTGCGTTCCGTTCTTCGCCTCGATGCTGTCAGAAGTTGCTAGAAGAGGCAGAGATCTTCTTGCGATGTTGAAGCATTGACCTGGATACGGTTTAGTCCCCTTTGAGAGGCTCAGGTTAATTCTGCCGGAAAATGGAAGACGAGCCAAGACAAATTTGAATTCACAGGATAATTGGTGGCCATGTTGAAGCAAAATTTAGAACCTCAAGCCAAACGTCCTCAAACTCCGAGACATTTCAGAGTTGCTCGCTGCAATCTCCCATGAGATTCCCACCATGCGCCTTGTATGGCAGATCAATTTACACACCCTCTAGCGGCTTCTTAGACGCCTTCGGATGTAGACCTGCACTCACTTGCAGTTGCGGGGCTAGAAAGGCCACCCAATATGCAGCAGGTTCACATGCTCAGATGTATTCCTGGATAGGCATTTATCAAAGTTTAGGGGGGGGGGCCCTCAGCGGAATCCGATCACTTTGCATCTCTCGCGCTCCAACAGGCACTCCAAGTTTTTCTTCACCCTCTACATGCTGTCAACAAATCTGCAAAATTGTTCAAGCAACGCATGCAGACATCAGTGCTCACACACGACTCCCATGTCCCATGTTTCAGGTTCAGCGCGGCGCTTGCGATCCGATCTTCACCTACCATTAGCAGCGGGCGGGCCACTTGATGCGGAGCAATCCCGATTCTTCCATTCTGCGAGGTTCTCCAAGTATTACTCAAGAATTGCTTTCAGCGCTAGTTTTAGCAAGGTGTATTTTGGCTCCAGCGACCGCAAGCTCTACGTGCTTAGAGAGGACAATGGCCAGCAAGTCTGGCAACCGGGACCTGAAGCACTTCAGGGGTAGGCTAGGCTCGGGCAAGGCATGGCAGCCACCACTCCCCAGGTGCACAACGCCTGCAACAAGTTGGGTTGCACCTTCCTGCCCCCTAGAGTAGGCCCCTCAAGCCCACTAGCGATAAGTACGCCCGATAGAATGCCACCTAAAACCTAGGTCATTACTGTTACTTGCCATTGTTTTCTGACGAATATTATGGGCTACCATAATTTGATTTTATTGAAGCGGCCATGGGGTTAGTTTTAGGATGGGTTAGCATGGAGGAGCCTGCAATGAAAACGATCATTATTAGGGGGCTGGGAGGGTGGAGTATCAGGGAGAGGCGATTAGGATGGGGGTGCTGGAGAGTTCCTCCTAGGCTTCTACTGCAGGAAGGTGACATTCAAGTCATTTCACATCTAAGCTTCTTTGTTAAGAGGATTCTGCTTACTGCCGCAAACTGGGTCAGACAATATGTCGTCAAAGCAAAGTATTGAATATTCAGAGCACGCAGTGAGCACAAAAAGGGGAAGAGCTGATCAATTGGAAGCTCGCAGTAGCTCTCACAACTAGCGATTGGCGGGCTTGAGATCTTGTGGCCAATGCAGTATGATCATGGTGGCAAGACCTGTTTGTGTCGCCATTGCTGTCTACCAGCATAGTTGATCCTAACCTGCTAGTCATGTTCCCCTCCCATGAGAACTTGCCAACCCAACGCTACCAAGGCAGTTCCCCACACAGGGGCGGGTCAGATCCTCCCCTGCGATCAGCAACGACAGGGCTGCATGGCGCGAAAGCATGCTCAAAGATGGTTTTTCTATGTATCATTCCATGTGGTGCCTACAAGCTGAAGGACAGCGCTTTCATGTGCTTTGAGTTAGTCGCAGCTAGAAGATGGAGCCTGCTATCATTCTACGGCTGCTCTTGCGTAGATATTCTCCCGGGTTACATGTTGCCCTGATGAAGTCTGTACATTGCCGCCTGCTTGTTGGTTGCCTTTTTGAGGTCTTCGTGGGCTCTGAAGACTGGAGGATGTATGCCTTCGACGAGGAGGATGGTAGAAAGGCCAGCTCAACAGAAGGACATGGTCGTTGCGGGAGACATCCAGATTTGGTACTGCCCCAGACTGTCAAAATGGACACGACTTAGAAAACATGATTAAGTATAGCCCTCAAAAGGACCCCTAATATAGACTGTTACAGGGTAGTGGCAGTACCCAACATCCAGAGCCTATGACATATCAGTCACATGTGCCCATGTCCGCAGTAGAGCTGCTCGGCGGTTTGGATTCTCACTAGCTCTTGACTGTGGGGATACTTCAGCCTTCTGTTGGCTACCTTAATGGCCACGCAGAGGTTCACAGTGAAGGTCTCACATCTGCGTACTGGATTTGGGGGTCCCTAACAAGTACACCGCTTCTGTCACATATGAAACATCTCAGTCACGGCGCCCAACTTAAAGTCCTTCTGCTGTTGTGGTGCTCCACTTTAATGCTGAAGTCTGAAGCCTTGCCATTTTCACCGACTCTGGTGTACAAGAGTCCGAGGGTTCCCGGGGTTCTCTAGGACAGCTTACTAAGCACCCGTGTTGTAAGTCTGGCGTGCAGCTGGTCACGAACAATGGCTGCAGCCGTTGGGGAGCTACGCTGCCATGACAGTCATGTATGCTCTCAGCTCTGCATGCCAATTTTCTGAAATCAATTAGTAAGGAGTGATTCATGTGATATCCCATGTCGGTGAGGAATGGTCTGTTGCCGCTATCACGGCGCAGCAGTCGTAAATTCATATGGTAGGGGATGCTTCAGGACATTTGGGCTTCTCTCCCTGGCATGCGAGGGAAGCAGCCTGCCATGAATCTTCAACTTCAGTGCAAAGCCCTATGGTGGACTTCTTACCTCTAAAGTGAAGAACACTGCCCATGGTCGGCACATCGTCTTGCCGAAGAGGTATGGGAGTTTCGAACAGAAGCCGCTGTCCACTGTTCGCCCATTGTGCCTGGGAGATATTGAGATACACCAGCTACGGATGTGATGCGGGGTTTCGCTTGTCAGGTGGTTAAGGTGCCTTTGGCCTTTGGTTTGAACGTGGAAATTGGGTGAGTGTTTATATGAGGTGTCTTATCTTGGGGGAGACCATGTGCCATGCATCTAACACACACTACCCCACATAGGCAGGCGCCCCGACGAGAATCGGACCTTGGCGGCTGGCAAGATTGGAAGATGTAGCAAATGTGAACAGAAAAAAATTCAGCCAAGATCCAGCTCGGCTGCATTTGTGCATGATGTTTAGCTTAACCTACCAGGTGAAGAACCTCGTCGTCTACTTCGGCGGCATGTCTGTGATCGATGCTGTATGTAACAGCAGCAGATTAAATCATATATGGCAGACAGGCTATTGTCCAACAGCAGCTAGTTAGGTGCTTTTCGAAAGGCGCTGCATGGCAGCTGGGAGTAGGCGGGCTCCGAAATTGGGGTTATGCCTGCCCACTGGAATGCTTTATGCAAGGATCTCCTTCATGCACGCCATTGGTGCATAGCCATATTGGGCTCTAACGTATCTGGGGGTTCCAGGGAAGTGGCGACAGAGTCGGGTGTCGGATTCCACGTGTGGCTTTTCAAGATGATAGCTCTCCTTGACTTAAAGTGCGCATGCGCTTCGCTGGACTACAGCCTACTGTATGTGGCGGCTTCTTGAGCTTCTATCCCATGCAGTGCTTGCATTCCAAGTGCGGTAGGTTTTGACCACAACGGCGTTGCCATTACAGTCATGCTAATTTGTTCGCAAGAGCCGGAAAACCTCCAGACAACCTGCGCCGCAATGGCTATTTGGGTCTTGTGCTTCTGAAGATGAGAGATGGACAAGGTACACAGTCATCAAGACTGAGTAGGTGACAGCCGCCCAGGCTCTTTGGATGGTAAGTTCTATGCCGTGCATGCCTTGACAGGCGCTGCTCTGTTCCGCTCTCAAGACACTATTATGTAGATAGCCTCTTTTATTTCAGGGACTGAAGCTCGGAATCTGTACTACCTCTGGCACACACAGAGGGAACATTGCTGACTTGTTGGGCATATGACCATTACACGAAATCCTTGAGCTTCGGCTCTGGTTCGGTGTTCTGCTTGCTTGGGAAAATCTGGTCTGTCGCAAGTACCTGTAGGGGACCAGGATGCATCACCCTGTAGGGATTCTTTTGAACTTGAGCTTCTCTGCTTTCGAGCAAGTGCAACTTGGGTTTGCCCATGCGCCATGCACAAGTAGGCCTTTTAATAATAACAAAACGACATTGGAAACTAACGTGTCCCGTGGTACTCTAGTTTGAATTTTCATCTAAACTCTTACGGAGACACTATTCCTTGCGGGCAGGTCTCCTGGTCTGGGACTTCGATGCGGGCTCGCCCATCAAATCTTCTCCCATCATCAGCGATGGCAATATCTATTTCGGCTCAGACAATGGTGACCTGTCATCGTTCTGGCTGCTTCTTAGTTCCATAAGCTATGGGGCTAGATCGTTGAATAGATCGTCCACTGCCTAGTCAGAGTCGTGATACTTGGTGCAGTTGAACAGAACGAGCAGAAACATGTTGAACCGCTAGTCATTCCAGACCTTGCTTCTGGAGACCCAAAAAGGTCTGTCTTTAAACTTGAGCTGGCGCCTGACGCCCACAAAGCAACCAATGGGCCTTGATAGGCTGTACCATGGAGTCACGCACTGTGCAACCCCAAGAACAGCGGAACTCGAAAGCGCAGAAGTTTTCGAAGCGAGTGCAGCGACAGAAATGCAGTAGCCCAAAAATCAGCGTGCTACCTCGAAGCCGTGCACGTGGCCGTCAATCAGGCACCTTCTTTGCATTGTCCGAGACTGACGGGTCCTTTGTCTTCAGATTCGAGACTGGTGCCGCCATACAGCTGGGATCTCAAGCGTGGGTCGGCAGTTAAGGTGTTACACGATGGTTGTAGCTTCAACATGTTGTTCCCAACATCTACAGCTACTTACTGCTGTGGCTGCTGCAGCTTCTGCTCCTGACACAGCCAAGCGGCCAAGCAACCAGAGTTACTACCTAGAATGATAGCAAAGTGGCGACGCTGCCATTGATGTCACAATGAGATTTCAAAATGCAACGCCAAATCCTAAGATCTGCGCCGCTAATCTCACGCGGGCTGCTCTTCTTCGGGAATGATGCGGCCTGGCTTAGGCCACTCTTTCGTTTCTTGTTGTGTTTCCAGGTTCTAGTGGAAAGCCTGCTACGGAATGCGTCTGCTGGGTGGGTGTTTGGGCATTGGTGCTGGAACGAATGGTCATCGATTTGGAGCATTACCATTTACGCGGGGCTTTTGAGGTCAGCTCAATATGGCATTTCCAAGGACAAGGGCTTCCCCTCTTGCACCAAAATGCTGTTGTTCTTTCGAGGGCCTGCCGCACAGGGACCGCGAATTTAGGGAAACACACAAATGGGCACGTAGTACAGGATTGCGATTGACATGTCTCCGTATTTTCCTCTTCAGCAAGCTCCTCGGGTGGTTGTAAAATCAGGCTTTGACGGAATGTATTGAAAGACCTGCCACACAAATTTTGGCTGTTCTGGTCTTGCGACTTGCAGAGGAGGTTTGCTGCCAAGTGCCTTAAGGCCCTAATAGGCCCTAAAGTGATAGTGATTCCAGTTGGTGACCTAATCTTGCCTTTATGCCATACCTGAGATGCCCTGTATTTCTGAACTAGTGCTTGCACGGGAGGACCCAAAATAACCTTGTGATACTGAAAATATTGAACTTGATTCTTCTCATGGTGAGATCTCGGGACCACAGAGATGAACAGAAGTGCGTGCATTTATTTCTTGAACTCATACTAGGCTGAGCCATCTAAGTCCTGTCAGCACATCCCTATGTTGAGAAGGGGTGGTTGCAGCAGCGGGGTTGTTTCTGCTCAAGTACGTTTTGCTTCAGAAAAAATTCCAAGGATGGCGACTTCTACGCACTGGAGCCAGCGGGATCCAACGTTGTGGAGAGGCGCGGCCCTGAAAAAGGAGCCGCAGAATGATTCTTACCCATCAAGGATTTCACCCCAAATCATGCAAAAGCCCATAAAGCTTCGTGTGTTCCAACAGAGCAGTGAACACGGGAACCTCCTCAAGGGTGAAGCAGGGAAGGGAATCCCAAAGAATCGGGACTAAATGGCCATGCTTCAGCAGCCTCACGCCTGAATGACTTCTACGCAACTCCGTGTACGCCTGTGGGCAGGTTTGCCAGGTTTGGAAGTGTATCAGTACCCCTACTCCTCTCAGTTTGCACGAAAACTGCTTGAAGACGTGCCCCTGCACATCAAGCACCGGCCGAGCGCTAATCTCCGCAAGCCGCATGCTTTTCCAGGTTTTGTGCCATACCTACCTACCATCCCTCAGCACGAGGTGGCGCTTCAACACCTCCAGTCAGATCAGATCTGGCAAGCCCTCCGGGGATGGCCCTGCTGTATTCTTTGGGAATGAAGATGGGAGCCGTGGCTAAAGCTTCGGGGTTTCTGGGTATATGCATGATGCCCCCGATAGCTCGCAGAGGCTTGGTGGCCCCTCCAGTTCAAGGCAGCAATTCTCTCCACACTCCCTTCCGCGCGTTTTCCCAGCCCTCCTCGCAGATCTTATAAGGGACCCGCCGCAAATGTTGTCCTCAAAGTGCGCAAAGGAATGTTTATGGCTGCCGGCATGAAGATGGTGAGCTGATGTTGCCCGGCTGAAGGGTTTTGGGTTTTGATTTCCAAATCGACTGTCATGTGGCCCAATCCATTTGGACCAAGTGCCCTTACTTTTGGGATGTGACGTTCGTCCCGCATAAGTACTTTTTTAGGCCTTTGATGCACAGACGGGGCAAAGCGGATGCAGCCTCTCTCTATTGAGAGCCAGTTGCAAGTTGTTACGGCGTCTGCTCCTGTGTTCCTATCTCATGGGCACCCCTGTGTGGGGAGCCGGCAGTTCACTGTCCTCTTAGCACCCAAGCCTACAAAGGTTTCAGCATGTCACCAATGGCCCAGTCAGAGCGGCGCCGCGACCTGGCTGATTGGTGTGGCTGTGTCTAAAAAACGGGTGGCCATCAAATTCCCTGGAGCAGTAGGGTTTGCGACAGTACTTGTAGACCCTTCAAAAATGACCGGCCGAAGGGCACGAACGACGCGCAAGAGGATGAGGCTTTGAGGTATGTGCGAGAAGGGTAAGAACAAAGTGGGGCGTTTTCATATGCGTATATACGGGTGTATAAGTACATGTGTAAACATGCATGCATAGACAGTTTTTTCGCACATATCTTTCTCCTGAAGCCCTTGTAAAGGTCCCCCCGCGTCTCTTGCATATCCTTTGTTGCGCAACGAGCCAGCGACCAGAAGTAAATTAAGTTCCACAAGTCAGAACCGACAACTGTTGTCTCGACTCCATAAAGTTTGGGAACATCATGCCTTATGTGATGAGGCTAGCTGTGGCTAGCTGATGCCAGGGTCATATGGAAAAACAGGATAACATCAAATTTGGGGGCCTTCAGGGTGGCCGGCAAATTATTGTTGTCCAAAAGAAGCGAATCCTGAAAATCTCTGCAAAAACACCCCTGAATCACCCTGGGGAAAGTCACGAAATTTCTCCTGATACCGTATGGCAGTGTTTGCCTTCAGCTTTTCCATACATTTGAATTCGAAGCCTGGTTCCAGAATTAGTTGCGCGACATGCTTTAAGGCTGTGCATGAAAGCAGCTCCTAAGCCCAGAGTGGGCGCAACAAATTTACCTGCCACAGTAACGTCCACATATGTTCTTCTTCGCAACCGTTTTTCCTCTATGTGAGTTCGGTGTTGCATGCTCATTATGTTTACAGACCTTTATGATGAAAAGCGGTAGGTATTAGATCAGTGCTTCCTGATCTACCCCTTGCAACCTGGCTACTCAGCCCAGAGGGGGCCTCAGAATAAGGCCTTATTCTACTCACTCTCAGATGACACAAGCACAAAATGTAGAGCAAGACATCATTCACCTGGACAACTCAGGCTATGGTACAACAACTTGCTGTACTTTGGGTCCGACACCTTCTATGCAATGAACGTCGTCTAAGTCTAAGTCTAAGCTTCTTTGCACAGGAGCTCAAAGCAGCTCCTTGCAAAGGAAGACGAATTCTCTGGCTTGCTTAGTAAGACTCCTGCAGTCTGAAAGATAAAGTGTGATGTAGTGTCTATATAGCATACCATCTACAGGCGTCTCCACCGGAGCATCGTCAACTTTCCTTCCACTGCAGGCTGCCAACACGTCATCGAATGGTCCCCTAAAATTCAAGGGCCCCATGTAGTCCCCCAGGGCTGGGAAAAACAATCTAAGGGGCCAAAAAGATTGAGGCTTCAACTGCAAGTTGAAGCTCAGACAGCGGGATTCCCAAGACTGGAACACCCTAAAAGGGGGTGTGCTGGGTCGCCTGGCCTGCATCCGACAAAACCACCAGGATTGGTCATGCAATTGATTTCACTAGTCCTGCATCTTGAGCTCCTCAAGTCCTCTTAAACACATTACTGGTCTTGCCTCAGGCCTTTCATCGCTCAGCGCTGAGCTGCTCTGCGAACTGAGTGATATTCGATGCCGGGTCGGTCTACACAGCCATTTCACTATGCCTATGTCGTGTAGCTAGTTATTTCTCATTTCTCAAAGCCTGTCGCTACATCTCAAAGTAAAAACCGGTGCATGCAAGTCGACAGCTGCACTCATCCTTCACGAGAGTCCTGACCCCGAACTATGTTGCACAGGACTTACGACGGCTCTTTCAAGCAGTTTCTTTGCACTTTCACTGACGGTTACCATGGCAGTTTCATGTCGCGGCTGAAGATTGAGCATCTCCAGGCTTGTTTGAACTGGGTCAGGAGCTGTATGAGACCTCCAGACTCTGCAGGTGAATTGCAAAAGAGCACATCGTCTTTGAATTGTTGAGTCTTTGCCTGCATATCCGTGCGCCAACCGTTGGGTGTGGAGACGAACGCTGAAAACAAGACGTGCCATGGACCAGTGCTGTTTTTTGGTTGCGCTTAAACGAATTGCCATGCCATGCCCGTGGTGCCGCTACAATGAACTTGTTACAGGCAGAGCTGTCATGTTTCTCTGACAGTCAGTCCTTGTTCGCAACAAGCCTGCATGAAGCGCAAGTGCCGAAAGATACATCAATGGAGGCCCTAATCTCAGGTCTCAGTGTAAGGCGAGGTTGTGTGCAGGTTGCTGCAACCCTCAAACAATCAGCTACACCCTTTCCCTAGTGCCCTGCTGCTTGAGCCCAGCAATGCCGGCTTTAGCCCATGGGCCATGGCTCCGCCAGCAGTCCGCAGCCAAGGCGGACGCCAGAAGCTGCCTTTCGGGCGAAAATTGTGGTGCATGAGGGACCGCTTGCTTACAGTATGGGAGTTTATCAAAACAGTTCAAGTATCATGCCTAGGGGACCCCTATGCTACGTGGGTCCCCTATGATCCATAATTCCCATATATCCCTTACTCCATACACGAAGAATCTCTGACTGAAATGGTACATGAGTTTGGATTGTAGGAGTATATTGTACGGTCCCGTACTAGACGGACCCTTCTTACAAAGGGGCTCGCAGTTTTGACAAGCCGCTCAAACAATGGTTGGCCTTTGGTGGTCCAACATGACCGGGTAATGTGAAATAGGTTATGCCAAAGCTAGGGCATGGCGTCATTGGACTAGGAAATCTTGATATCAATCTTTCGTGGATGCAGCCTTGCACTGATGGCCAGCTTGCTGTCCAGCGCTAACTGACAATGCAGAGAAGTCAAAACCCTCTCACTTCGGCTTCTGTATCGAATACACGAGAAGTCGCGGTCACTTGAGGATAATTGGCAACCGAGAATGGCAAGATATTCAGCCGTGGAAAGCTTTTTGAAACAAAGCC